GTGTGGTGGTTTTTGTTTGTTTTTTTTGGGTTTTGTTTTTTTTTTTTTAAACCTGAGCTAAATTAGCATGAGCTAACTTAATTTTTTTATTTTCCTCTTTTTTTGGGCTGGAGAGATGTAACTTTACGTTCAGTCATCATGTCCAAAGGGAAGCTGATAAGCATTTTTCCCTTGGAAAATGTTTCTGTGTCTGAATGTCAAAAGTTTTAAGTAAGTTTTTGTTTTTCAAGAATAGATTGGAAATGTGGCCACCTGAGGAGGCTTACCTTTATTTATAGAATTGGTTTTGCTTATCCATGCAGAAAATGATTCCTGTGAACAGTTCTACCAAGGTGGTTTGAAGGGTGAAAGCTTTGTTCTTGACACAATTTTTATTGTTTTGTGAAGTGAATGGTGGGAGCTGTTTCTGTGTCTCTGAGACTCATCTTTGAGAAATTCACAACGCTAAATTAGAAGTTTTGAGATGCAGGTAACTAGAAGTAATGCCCTTTTTCTGAAACCTTAGACAAGCAGAAAATATTGGCCTCATCCAGCTGATTGCAAAGAGGGGAGTAAGCAGGCACATAACAAAGCAGCTTTCCCAGGTAATGGAGAAAATGTTTACTTGGAGACAAACTGTGCACTTTCAACTGAGTTTTTAAATATGTTAGATAAGTGATCAACTGCTCTGTAAGCAGCATGTCTTCTTCTGCCATGATGTGCAATTACTCATTTTCTGCGTTTTTAGAGGTGAAGCGAAAGTTGCCTCCTTCTACACCGTTCTTTTTAACTATAAAAAGAACTTCTGTTTTAAAGTGTAGAAAGGACAAAAGTCTCCTCATTATACAAGACTGTATTCCTCATTGTACACATCAGCCTAGGAGCCTTTTCTAAGGGTAGCATGACATTTTTTAATTCTGTTTGGTCAGTGTGATTGAATGGATCTAATAATGGCTTTACTTGCTTTGGGAAATCAGGAACAGAACTAAAATTAGAGAGGTAACCTGATCTTAACAAACTACTCAGGCGTGTGGGAGCTTGGATGCCAGAATGCTAATCCTCATTTTATTTCCAGTGTTATGTTCAACCAAAGAAAGTTTCTTTGAGTTTTTGGAAATAATCAAACCAGAAATTTCCTGAAATGTGAAATGAAAATAAAAATACTTCCTTTTTTTCACCAAGAGCACTAGATCAATTTTTTTTTTCAGTCATTGTCATTGCCAAATAATTATCATAATATTTATTATTAGTTTTATGTGTATTTTAATAAGCTTGGAATATTGCTGCTTTGTGGTTCCTGGGTAGTGTGGGCTAGAGGCAATACATTTTCCATGGAGCTGTTGTCAATTAGGTGGGTTTTTTTTTTTCTCCTAGAAACCCAGCTCAGTTCGTATTGATCAACTGGACCGCGAACAGTTCAATCCTGATGTAATTACTTTCCCCATTATTGTCCACTTTGGGATACGACCTGCTCAACTCAGTTATGCTGGAGACCCTCAGTAAGATGCTTTTCCTTCCATCTTCTCTTCAGAAGCTCATTACTGTTGTAATTTGTGGCTTAAGCAGGGCTTGTTCATGTGCTTAATTGAGTCTGATATAAAGCTTAGTGCTTATGACGTTGGGCACAAGCTCTTGTAAAAGACAGAATATAAGCTATAACTTCTTTTTTTCTGGCGTAATTCAGGATCTGCTCAAGTAATTGTGGATGCAGGTGCAACATGAAATTTCTCAAGCTGAGAACAGGTCTTTTTAGGTCTGACGAAAGGTTCTTCAAGCTCCATGTTATTTCTCTGAGAGGCCATTTGCAGGTTTTTAGAGAGAGCATAGTGTAACAAGAAGGCAGAGGGAGAGAAGTACTTACCCAGGCTTCCAAAGGTCTCTAGCATACGGACTTGTGAGGTAGAGGATGTATTTGAGTCTTTTTGTTTAACAGCCCTGAATAGACCTTCCCTCACCAAACTTCTCAAATTACTGAATCTTTTCATACCAGTGACAGGGAGAAGATTCCAGGTAATGATTTCCCCAGTACTATTGTACATTATATGAAAAGGGACTGACTTTTGTTTCAGAGCTCCTACTTGATCATTTAATTAAATGCTCTTCAGGTCTTACATCCAGTAATGAAGAATATAGCCATTTTCTGCTTGCTTTCTTCATGACTTTTATGTTTCTTGCATCTCGCCGTATCCTACTTAGTTGTCTCTTTCTGTGTGTTGAAGGCTCAAGTCTACCTACTGTTTCCTAGTTTGGGAGCTGTTGCATCGATGCTGCTTTTCTCTGTAGCTTTTCTGTCCTTAGAGAAAAGGAGAGGAAGGTAGTGAAGGAGTGGAGAGGGAATCAGAACTTCAGGCAGAGCAAGAAATACTATTTCACTGTGTATTCATGTGGTGACGTAATAGTGATTGCTGAATTTTGTTCTTTTAGTTTTTTTTCTTAATTTCTGACGATTTCAGGTAACTCTTCCAGTGTTTGGAGGTGTGTTTTCTGAATGATGACAGGCATTATAGACCCCATCTCTTGTGCATGTATAGATAAGGTTGTCTTTTTCCTCTTGCATTTTCCTCCAGTGTCCTTTAAGGACACTGAATTTCACCTGCAGTTTTGAGGCCCAAACACTCATATGTGCATGTATGACAGACATGTTCTTCTACAACTGCTTGCGGAGAATTTTAGAATTAATATGGTGGCAAGTGGGAAGAGTAAGTGCTTGTCCAGATAGTAACATGCTTTTTTTTGTCTTTCAGCATGGCTTTTAATCCTCCTCATCTTTTAGTTTTCTTATCCATAAAAAGAAAATAATTCAACCAAAGAATATAAGAAACACCTCTATTTTGATGCTGCATTTCTTAATATTTGTTAAGTTCTGGTACCTTGCATTGAAAACAGTACATAAAGGTACAAAAATTATTCTTCCCACACTTTTTTATTTTAACATTTTTTGAAATTTCCATGCCTTTTCTTTTTTTTCCCAGAGCTGCTTACATGATTTTAGGCATTCTTTGTTTTTTTTATCAAAGTAGCAAAGCAGTTTTTGAGAAAGACCTCTGTGGTGCCATCAGAAATCTCAGGCTTAACTCTGATGTATATGCAAAATACGTAATGCCCAGAAAAGATTTTCCTCTAGTGTCTCTTTTCTTTATGAGGTTCTAATACAGAATTTTTGTTATCCTAATATGTTTATTAATCAAACTTAATTGCAATAACAGCTTGTTCCATCCATATTAGTATTAGTAGTAAAATGTATGCTGTAGATTATAGTTTCAGGTTCTTGGTTTTGGGTTGAAACCTCCTCATGGCATTTGTTTGTTCTCTGGTTGGTTGACTTGTTCATTAACTCATTTTCTTTGAATGGGGATGTGTCAGAAATAGATGCCTGCCGATCACAGAAATGTGGAGAACAGAGCTAAGTAAAATCTATGGATTGCCCATTTTAGATGTGTTTATAGACTGAAAAATTATTGGCAGATCTATAGGCAGACAGTATACTTTCAAGAATGCTGCAGAGAAATAACTATGTAAAAAATGCCAGTAAGAAGAGATCTCTGTCTGCCTCTGAATCTGGGATGATTATGAAAAAGTAAAAGAGCTGCTGCTTCATTTACTGCATTGCCACTAATGTGGTAACTTCCTGCTAAAACCACTGCTCTGAGTTGCTGCTGAGAAGGATTTTTTTTTTTTTTTAATAACGTAAATACAAAAGAAAATAAAGTACTTGGGTACATTTCTTCCCTCTGTCCTCTAATTTCTCGCTTCCTATTAAAAGTCTGGTTTTATGGGTTTTCTTGAAAAAACTACAGGGGTGATACTGTTTTGAAGATAGCATCCTTTTCTGTGAAAGTCCGTGCTAGATCGCAGAGGGACTCCCACCGAGGAAAAAGTTCTGTTATTGAAGCTGGTGTGTTCATAGGGACAAATGGTGAGAAATTTCTGTTGTATTGACCAAAGTATTTGTTTTCTGGTTTTGTCCTTCAGATACCAGAAGCTGTGGAAGAGTTACGTGAAGCTGCGTCACCTGCTGGCTAATAGTCCCAAAGTCAAACAGGCTGATAAACAGAAATTATCCCAAAGAGAGGTATGCTGGGCCTTCCTGTAACTGATAATTGAGCATGGTAATTCAGGATGCAGTAAAACCATAGAACTGCCCTGTTTATGGAAGCAATAAAAATCCTTCAGAAAAGACTTTCTTTTCAGGCTTTTAACACTGATTTTTCTTTGCTTGTTAGTGAATGGATTTTTTTTCCCTTTTTTCAGCTGTCAAACTAGTGCAAGGTTTTTTGTTTGTTTTTTTTTTCTCAATTATAGAAATGATCATTATAGAACCATAACTTCTTTGTAGCTGTTGCCATTAATGGTTTCATGAATTAGCATAGAGAACGACTTTTTATTTGAGTGCACTTTTAACTGGCTCATAATTTTAAACATTACATTTCTGAGATAAAAACTGCCACACTTGTGCATGGCTTTAAACTATAGTTTATTAGACAGTCTTAGTGACAATCCGTAAAGTCTTTGAGTCCAAATCATCTGGTTGTTGTTATTTTCAGTAATGAGGTATCTGTTGAATTTTTGTCTTTTCTCTCTTTTTTTTTTTTCCTGAAGTGATGGGCAATAAGCATTCCCCAAGTGCAGATTCTCAACCAATTGGGAATTAACAGTAGAGAAATAAAGTCACCTAAATATAGACTAAAGCAGCCTGCTCTCAGGTATCTATAATTTTAAGATCTTGGACTGAAGCTTTGAATTTGTCTGGTGCATGTGTACCAGGCAGTCTTAATTGGACAGCTTATGTAAAGAATACGTAGAGAAGAAACCAACTGCTTTAGTACCGGATGGAATTCAATTAAGTGATGTTGTATTTTTATTTATTGCTTAGAAACTGATGATTCATAGCATCATAGAATATCCTGAGTTGGAAAGGGCGCATGAGGACCATTGAGTCCAATTCCGGAGTCTTCCCCAGTTTGCTAATTGTGTAGCTTTGGTTGCAGTAAATGTTTGAGACATTTAACATTGCACCTGATTTTTATTACTACTGCAGAGCATAGTATGCTGTTGCATGAGCAAGGGTCTTAGTTAGCATTTTAATTATACTGATATTGAATCAGTCCTTAGCTTCCTTACTTGTAAATGGTAAAACCCATGATGTTGTGACTTGTCTGTGCCACAGTTGTAAGGAAAACAAAAAAAATTGTCCCTATAGGAGATGATTCTGTTTGCTACAGCTTTCTGGGCTCAGAACAAGTAGAAGGGAGAACCATTGTCTTATAGGCAACTTTTCACTTGGGCTAATGCATGACTTATTTGTAAAACAGTAGTGGATTGGATGTAGGCAATTAGGTTTTGCTTCAACAGATAAGATGCTCCTTTGGTGTTTGTCACTTACTGTGTGGTGTGCTGATTTTTGTTTCTAGACTGTATGATCTAGGATAATGAGTTTATCAAGTAGTTTACCATCAGAGAGGCATACAGGGCTGAAGCAGGAGCTTTATGTGAGAATAACCTATGCGTGTGCCAGTGGAGGTGTCAAGCTCAGAAGGAGCTGTAGGGCTGCACCTTATTGGTACGTGGGCTTTTAAAGATCATGACTCACAGATATCATGGGTAACACTGGCTTTCTCCCGAGCCAGTCACACTGAAATTACAGCTAGGTGCAGCCAACACTGTAGCACCTGTCTCAGAAAACACCCAGTGACACAGCCTTGAAATGCAAATTTTGGCCAGTGCACAAGGTGTGCAGTGCTTTAAGTGCCTCTGTTCCCTCTGCCTTCAGTCATTTGCTACTGTTAGATTGTGTGATGTTGATATTTGTGACAAGGTTGTGCCTGGGGGCTTTGTTCCTCTAACCTAACTTGGAGCATTTACAGCAGGTGCATAAATTGGGACCTGAAGGCTCACTTTGAAGTCAGTGGAGAGAGAAATGCATTTTTTGAGGCCACTTATCCCCTTCATTGAATGTAAAAGGAGCCAGGGCTAACTAGTCTCCTACCTTAGACGCCTCTCGTGTTGAAGTGTCTGAGTTGTGATGAATCTGCCTCTGGGGAGGTGCACCTCTTGGAACGGCTCTGTGAGTCTCTACAGAAGACAAGGCAGAGCCCATTCCTGCCCAGAGGTGCTCACAGGCTTCAGACTGGAAGCTGGAGAGAGATGAGTTTGAGCAAGTGCCCTGTAGTGAAGAGAGGGAGGATGGACTGCAGCTTTGAAAAGTTTCATGTTCTGAAGAAGGAAGAGCACTGAGGGAGTCTTTACCTTAGTGCATGCTGTGTGGGGAGCTTACGTACCCCGGGGGGGTTTGTAGTATTGGAACCAGGAGATCCTGATCCAGAGATGATTTATTTACCTGGTTTTCTTTCATTATGAATGTATTTTCTTTTAATAATTTTGTCAGAATCTTTCAATGATTTTGTCCCTTTCATAGTTTCTAGAGACAAATAAACTGTTTGTACACCACCAAACAGCCAGTGGCGGAGGCAAAACAATTTTGGGTTTTTTTTTAATTGAAATAATATTGGTAGATTTCATCACACTAGGCTCCAGGACTAGCAAATGCTGACCCCTTTCCCAGACTGGGAGTACTGACAGTGTTTAACAGGAGCTATTATGCGATCAAAAAACAAAGCCTGCCTTTTACATAGTCTGTTTTATTCCTACTGAATGCTTCAAACCAGGAGTACTCATGGTGGCAGATTTGAATGAAGAGGAGGTTTTGCACACAGGGTTAAAGAAGGTGCTTTCATTATAGGGACCTTAACTTGTTTACTTATGTATTATCTTGGATGTATGAGTTGGACTGGTTTGTTCTGTCATTTGCAGTGAAAATGTAGTCATCTCTCTCCTCTTCTTGGCCTACCAAAATCCTCTCTCGACACTATACTCCAGTGCACCCACCGATCTGTGGCTGGCAGTTGCAGATTTGGACTAGTCCTAGAAACTGCTCACCAAAAGCAAACCTTAAATGGGTATTGTGAACACCCTCATGTGTGCACCGATACCGCTCTGTTGTAGAAAGTTCTTCACAGGAGCTCTGTTCTCTCCCTGTCCAGGAAGCACTGCAGAAAATTCGTCAGAAGAATACAATGAGACGTGAAGTGACCGTTGAGTTGAGTAGCCAGGGATTCTGGAAAACAGGGATACGCTCTGACGTCTGCCAGGTGACTAAACAACAGAGATGTCTGATGTGTTTTCTTTCTTGATAACTGCCATTTACCTCTTGCAAGGGTTTGCTGTGATTCTAGGCTGAAGAACCAAATGGAACCTGTGCCTCAATAGGATCTGTTGATTTAGGGAACTGTTCTAGTGTCCTGTCTACCCCTTCCACACAGGAAAAAAGGTTATTTTAAGAATTTAGGTTTCTTGTCGCTGGTTGATTAGCACAAGGGAGAAGGGGGTAGGAATGGCCAGCTCGAGGCTGGAGATTAGCCAAATATTGAGTCTAGTGTGGGACTCCTAAAGGCTGATTCATCCGTCAACTGGGTTGGTTTTAGGTATTATTTTAATATATTTTTCTATTTAGATATTTTTAAAAGCAAATTTTACAGTGAAGCATGAAGAAATTTCTTTACACATGAAAGAAAATTAAAAAAAACCCACCACAACTAACTTTTGGATCAAATCAGGTGACCCTCAGTAGAAAGGTATCTTTCAGATACTACTACATATGCATGACATCTCCAAGGTGTCTCTGCCAGATCCTGTTCTGAAGCAGTTGACAGCCACCAGCTTTGTGATATGATAAAAATAAGTGCAATGTTTATGTAATACTGTATTAGTAAAGTTCTGGTAGTTATAATAGTCAAATATACTAGAGGTGTATTTTCATCTTTTTTTTCAGCTGTTGTTTTGGAGATGTTATTTAAGAATTACATTTCATGTTAATTTAACATTATGAAGTATAAACTTTGGGGGTTGCTAGGCAAAAGGTATAGATAGAAATGCCGTCGTTGTCTTAGAAGTCTGGTAAGGCCAAAGGGGAAATTCTAAGGGGAGAGAAATGCTAATAACTAAAATTGCTTTTCTTCTGTCTGAAACATTGCTTGTGATTCTACTGTTGCTTTTGAAGTTGAAGAAAGAGAATAGTGGAACAGTATTTTCTCACATAGCTGAGTAAAGTTAGAGGCTTTTTCTGATTTTTTTGGCATGAACTGTATCTGTTTTTACAGGTTAAGTAAACAGTGTAAATTTCTAGTTTAGGAGCTTTGAAACAGTTCTGTGTTATTTGTAATATCTTCTGTGATTCATCTCTTAACGTCTTCTTGGATATCCCTGTTTAGTTTTGTTGTTGAAGGACAGCAAAACACCAAAGAACGATGAAAGTAAAGCTATTTCACGTCTTTGTGCCCATCTGCAGCCATAACATCTAAATCAGCCAGTTCTGGTATGAAGGTCCTTTGATTTGATGTCTTTGACAGGCCAAGAGTAGGCAAACTGTATGTCTGTAAAATGAAATATTTCTCTGTTGCTGCATGCTTTTTTCCCAGATTAAAGAAGACTAAAACTAAATATGCATAAATCAACTCTGTGGGCAGAGCTAAAGTGCAGTGATTTAAAATTAATGCTTTTAAAAAGTATTGCAGTGTAAAAGATTGAAACTCTTTTAAGTCCCTCTGATAGCTTATAGCGGCTCTAAGTTCCACGTAGCAGTAATGATAGTGGTCTTTGCAGGATTAGAAATGAACTGCTTGTAGAGGGAGGGAAAAGGGTGAGTGAAATGTTCCAAAAATGTAAAATGGCTGTGTTCTGCCAGGTTCATTTGAAGTTATTCAGTAGAGCAGTTCAGACAGCTAACCCCAACTGACCAAGGGAGTGTTTTATTCCATTGAACACCATGCTCAGATGGGCTGGGGACCGTGGTTCGTTCATCAGTTGTTCATTAGCTGGTGGGTCAGTTGGCTTTCTCGAATGTGCTCTTGCTCATGGGGCCCACTCGGATGCTGCTACGATCATTCTCAGGCTCTCTAGCTCTGACTCTCACTAGTTGGGACCTGACTGTGTGTCGGTTGTCAGGTGGTCAGCAATTGTATCATATGTTTTACTTTCCATTATTTTCATTACATATTATTACTAGTATTGTTAGTATTATTAGTTTCATTATTTTATTAATTTATATTTGATTATTAAGTTGTTCTTATCTCAATCCACAAGTTTCCTTGTCTTTTCCTCTGATTTTCCCCCTCCACTGGAGGGGTGAGGGGAGGTGAGCGAGTGGCTGTTTGGTACTTAGATGCTAGCTGAATTTAAACCATGACATTTAGTAACAAATTCCATGTATGAAACAAGACATAGGAAGCACATCTCAACAGTTTACATGGAGAAAATAGAGGTGTTTCCCCTAGCTTGTAAATTACCCTAAGAAAACTGAGTGTTATGGTAACAAAATAAAATTTCACTTACACTTACTCAGTTTGCTTGGAGTTGTTTTGCGTTTTTTCTGCCATTGAGAGATTCAGAGTCTTTTTCTTGTTGTTAAGTAGTTAATTCCATCTGAAGGAAAAGAATCTCAGGGTGTTGGTCAACAGCGGCTGAGTAGGAGCCAGCAGTGTACCCAGATGGCCAAAAAGGCCAACGGCATCCTGGCCTGCCTCAGGAACAGTGTGGCCAGCAAGACTGTGGAAGGGATTGTCCCAGTACTGGACACTGGTGAGGCTGCACCTCGAATCCTGGGTTCAGTTTTGGGCCCCTCTGCTGGTTTCAGGCAGGAACGAGCTCCTGTACTTCACAGTGCTGTCGCTGGCCCAGAGCGGCCGAGGAAGTGTTTCGTTCCACAGTATGTCAGGTTCAGGGCACTTGTGCAGTGCTGACGCCTGGGGGTTGTTGAGACTTTGGCTAGCTTGATAGCTGGGGCATTAGCTCTTTTGTTAGTGCTTGGTGGGGCTGGTTTGTTTTGTTAGTGGGTTGGGGTTCTATTTTCTATCGTTTTAATTACTTAGTAGTATTGTTAGTATCACTGTAATTTTCATTTATAGCATTAAATAGTTCTTATCTCAACTTTACAAGCTTTCTGTGTCTTTTCCTTTCACTCTTCTGCACTGGGGGATTGGGGGACGGGGGAGAGTGGAAGGAGGTGAGCGAGCAACTGTGTGGTACTTAATTGATAGGTTAGGTTAAACCATGACAGCCCCTCACTACAGGAAAGACACTGAGGTGCTGGATGGAGCATGTCCAGAGAAGGGCAACGGAGCTGGGGAAGGGTCTGGAGCACAAGCCCTGAGAGGAGCGGCTGAGGGAGCTGGGGGGGTTTAGCCTGGGGAGGCAGGGGAGACCTTATCGCTCTCTACAGCTACCTGAAAGGAGGTTGTAGCGAGGTGGGGTTGGTCTCTTCTCCCAAGTGACAAGTGATAGGACAAGAGGAAATGGCCTCAATTTGTGCCAGAAGAGGTTTAGACTATCTATTAGGAAAAATCTCTTCACTGAAAGGATTGTCAGGGCATTGGAACAGGCTGACCAGGGCAGTGGTGGAGTCACCATTCCTGGAGGTATTTAAAAGACATGTGGATGTGGTGCACAGGGACATGGCTTAGTGGTGGACTTGGCAGCGCTGGGTTAACATTTGGACTTGATGATCTTAAAGGTCTTATTCTATGATTACCTTCCAGCTATGTGTTCAGTTCTCAAGAATTTCGCAGTCTTTTACATAAAGTGGTGCCATTGGTTATTCTTCTCGGTCTTGTAACGTTTATCAGTTTGTTTTTTCTGTTCTTTAATGACATACAGAAATCTGTAACATCTTTTATTCCATATATTATGTTTCATCTGCTTTGTATGCTTGTTTTTCTGGCATCTCTCCACGCTGAACACTCATCTTCTGCAATCATACAGGTTCCTCTTTCTGAAATTAATAGTGATAGCCCTCAGATTTCAATTCCCTTAAAACATGTCATTCTTTTGTATATATTTATGTGATGTCACTAATAGGACTGACTAGAAGAACTGAAATCTTATATCGGTTTCACAAAACTGGTCACATGCATAAAATTCTTCAAATACTGACATTTCTCCTCTAGCTCTTAGTTTTCAGCCTTATGCAAGATTTTTGATGTTGGTATCCTACTTGCTTTACCGCTGTACTGATAAAGTGTCCTACTTGATTATTTCCACCCAGATCCATCCAAACTCAGTATTAGTGTAGAGTTCCTGCTTTAAAACACTGAAAGAGGGAGACTTTCATTGACACAACATAGAGCTCCTTAAATTTTTACTGAAATATTTTCTATCAGAAAACCAAAATCTGCTTCCTAGACGATCAAACAACCACCTTTCTGATTTTGGTTTTTTAGCACATTAAGCCAGGAAATTACAAACTACAGGATTTCAAAAAGCCCTTAACTCTTCCTCAGAAGGAAATGAAGCAGCTGTGCTTGAAAATCAAGTAGCTCCTGTTTGGTGAAGGCTGGTTAAAGGGGTATAGATTGCTTCTTCCCTAATGTTATGAGGCAGGGGGGAAATGGTCTTTTTTCATCTTTGGTACCAACCTGAAACTGTGGGTTGTTAAATGAGAAGGTACAAACATATCACATTGTATTCAGTCACAGCTTATTAAGACTTGGTGTTACTGGTGACCAGACATTTTTTACCTCATTCAGAATACTTAAGACGACTGGTTTTATGTGTTTATTTAATCTGTGTGGGGCTGCTCCCCCACTGTGATTATGCGGATGATCAAATCTGATTTAATTAAGTGGTCTGATGAAGAAGGTTGGGAAACCATGGGGTTGTTTTCCTCATTTATAAACCAAACTGGTAAAACACAGTGTTGTGACAAATAGAAAGCGTTTATATTTATAGCTGACTGAGTACTGTGTAACAATGAAGTTGAATGCTTTTCCTTGTTGCAATTCTTTTTAGCATGCAATGATGCTTCCTGTCCTCACCCACCACGTCCGCTACCATCAGTGTCTGATGCATTTGGACAAATTGATAGGCTACACTTTTCGAGATAGGTGCTTGCTGCAGGTAAGATATGGAAATAATAAACTACTTGCTGGTTTGTCTTCCTAATATTGTTGAGTTTATCCATAATCCTGCCTGCTGCACAAACGAGGAACGCACTGCCTTGACACAGATAGGACGTACTTAATTACTTCTGCTGCAGATCTTTCAAAAGTTTCAGTTATCCCAAGAGACTTCTAAAGAGAGACATCTGTCGTGCGTGTAGGCATACATGTATCCTTGATCCAATGGTAGGCCTGGATTTGCTTGTAATGTGTAGAAAGACAAAAATATGCTTGCTGAAAAGTGTCAGGTGCATCACTCATTTCCTTGCAAGTTATTTTTTTGGATGTTTGTGAAGAATACAATGTTACTCTGCAGATGAGTGTATGTGCCTTGCTTCTTCCTTTTATAGTCTGTCCTTCCAAAGAACAACTTAGTGTTGGCTTTTTATTTTGCATTTGTGGCTATTGAAAAGGCATTTTTAGACTTCAATTTAGCTCTGGATTTCTGTAAGTGCATGATAAAATTTTTGCATTTACAAACCAGGGCAGGAACTGGAGAGGAGAGTTTCTTACTCGATTTAAATGCATCCATGTCACATAACCAGTCAGCGCATATTTGGAATTGACCTCCAGAAGGATGACTCTTGACACGGTGGCCCCTTTCCCTTATTTTTTTCTGAAGTGACTGAAGAGTAATGGAGAATTCTGTTCAGGAATTTCCCCTGAAACAGACATCATCTCTCTCCACTGATTGGGGCTGAGAAAGGTGAATTTTCTCTTATGTTGAAAACATGCAGTTTCTGTATGTGTAGGGATACTTTACTCCCAGACTACTTTAAGCAGAGGCTTACGGAGAAGTCTTTTCTCACAGCTTCTCTGTTTTTAAGAAGCTGGTTTCCAGGCCTTGTCCTGCTGTTTTTACATTAGATACTGAGCATCATGTAGGATTTGGTTGTTCACAGCCTGCCTTAGTTTTAATATGAAAGGTAAAAATGCAGCGATGGAAATCTTAAGATGTTGAGACAAACACACAAAACAAAAATTAAAATGCCATCAAAAAAGGGAGAAAACATAAAATCAGGTGTGTCAGCATTGATGAAATTAATGTTTAGTTATAAAATAAGTACTTCTGAATACTTGATCCTTATGCAAATTTATTTGAAACCTACAAACTAGTTCCAGAAGATAGAGAGCTTTTTAAAAATGTATGTAGCACCAATCACCTACTTAAGCATAGGAAACATTACTTATATGATCTGCATTGTTTTTCACCTGTGTCATCATGATGTATCCTTTATAGCGTACAGACTGGGCCAGTAGGATTACGCTGATTTAACTATTCAGAGAAGTTGTAATGTGTCATCCAGTTCAGATGGAGCAGAAGTTGAGAATGTGCAGTTATGATGAATTTACTAATATTAGTGAGGAATTAAAAAGGACTTGGGGAAAGTTTGTATTGGTTAAATATAATTTTTTGCTCTCTAAAATAATTAAATTATACTTCACTGAGTCTTGTGTTTGGAAAGACACAATGTTTGAATGAACTACTGGAATGTTGTTGCTCACAGCCTGCAGCACTAGTCCTGCAAGTGTTTCAGAAGTAACTTTCTGCAGCTTGAATTTGCTAATCTATCTCTTGCTTTATACATGAGGGGTGTGTACGCATACAAGCATAGTATTTTTGAGTTTGTATGTGTAAAGAAAAAATGTGTGGGTTTGTAGGATGGAGGCATAAAAGCCTAGCTCTAGTTCTGTTTACTGCTGCCATTTTAGTCGTGGTGGTGTCAGCAGCAGAGTAAGCTTTTAATAAAGCTAGGTGATACAAATGTAAAACCAGAAGTCTGATCCTGCCATTGCTGTGTGAATAACCATGCCAGAGGTAATATACTTTGTTGCTGTTTGTGGTTTTTTTTTTTTTAAGAGGGGAAGTTCTGTAGATGTTTAAATAACCTAAAATCGAATATGTGAATGGTTGAGAAGCTTTCAGTTGCTCATATTTTTATGTGAATATTTATGCTGCAACGTTAGCATGCGTATATGTTCAAGCAAATGTATTGAAATCAGGTCAGCAAAGCTGGTAAGCAAAACTCTCAGGGCAAATTGACAGTTCATGCTTTTTCTCTTTTAAACTAGTTTTTCTTTAAAGAAAAAAAAAGCTGTTGAAAGTTAATTAGTTAAACTGATGATTGAGCATAAATGTTGCTTCTTTCTGACATCTGAAATAGTACATCCTACATTTAAATTGCTGGAACCAAGCTGCTAATTGACATCACTTTGTAGCCTTTCTTCAAACTAAAAACTAAAAATTATTACCTACCAGTCTAAGATTTTTTTTTTCTTACATTTGCAAAAATATGTCTTTTTTTTTTCTCTGTGTGCTACGTTATAGCTTGCCATGACTCATCCAAGTCATCACTTAAACTTTGGAATGAATCCAGATCATGCCAGAAATTCCTTATCCAACTGTGGGATTCGACAGCCAAAGTATGGAGATAGGAAAGTTCACCATATGCACATGAGAAAAAAAGGTATGCTGTTACACCACTACCATTTTTTCGCTCACCTCACACTTAATCAGTAAGAAAACCTTTTGTCCATTATTATTTTGTTGGCCCTTATTCTTCTGAAAGATCCCTTCAGCGGAGGATTTCAATGGTTATACACAGACACCAGTGAGATCTTTCTAAAAGACTGGATTTTGCTAATTAATCAGCAAGTAAAGAGCTGACAAAAAGCAAGGACAGTAAGTAGGAGGATGTACTTTCTTTGACTTTAGGCAAGTATTGTTTTCTTAATTTGCTGCTGAACGTGGTGAGCAAACCGGAGTATGTTTTGTATAAATGTCTTATTAATGTGAAAATATGTGCTCTGTCTGCTGCAGAATATTCCTTACCCCTTAGAAGTGTATTCAGCTGTAACAAAGTAAATTATTTATTGTTTATGTAATGTTTGCAGTGTCTTTTGCATGTAAAGGTGGTATTGTCTGGCTCTCCGAATGCAAAAATAGTATTGTAATGGGGCTGTGGTCAGTTAGGCAGAGAGCATCTGTAAGGATTATATTGGCTGTAAGAAAACCCTGTAAATAACAGTATGATCTTATGTACAGCAATTACAAAGTAACATTTTGAGTAATTATTTTCTAAGCCTATTCAAATTGCATTAGTGGTTGTTTACTTAATAGTGCATTGTTTATATTTCTAGGGATAAACACCCTGATAAATATTATGTCCCGTTTGGGACAGGATGATCCAGCTCCTTCCAGGTAATGAAAATAATTGTTTGCGAGTAGGGAAGATGTTGCAGAGGGAGATGTTTAATAGAAACAACCAACTTATTGTCAGCAACAGCTTTGGCAAATAGTTGAAATGAAAAGTAATTTTGAATTGACTTTTATATTATGGAGATGTGCTGAACCTCTGTTAGCAGTGACATAGTACATGTTTGGTGATGACTGCAGAAGACTCCAGAGCAAGGTTTTTAGAAGTTAATTCTACCATTTTGGTTTATCCTTGAAATGAGGAGGACTAAAAGGCTACCTTTTTGCTTTCTGCAGAATGAAAAATAAGAGTTGTTCTTAGTGTTATCATTGCTGTAAATTGGGTTCTCCATCACATTTCCTCACAGTAGTAACTTCCTGGCATGGCAGCTTGTTAACGTGAGCGTTGCGATACTGTGCGTGGACTTTGCCGATTTACTGGTCCAGTTTAAAGAAACATACAGAAACCCTTAATGTTGTAATGTAATAATCCTTAAATGACCACTAAGAATTCTGGGCAAATAAATAATGCTTAAGATGTGGTAAGCTACCATATTTAGTCAAAGTGAATTAACAAAGCTCACAGGGCTAATGCAAGAAGCATTTGCATGTAGAATCTCCTAACTGCATGAACTAGAGGGCAGAGTGTTTTTTCATTAACTGATGCTATAACTGGACCTTTTAAGAGTCATCGTTTTGGAAGAATCTCAGGAACAGGAGAAGTTGAATTCTGAATAAATTATTGTTGTAGTGTTCCCCAAATGTGGTTTCAGCTAGACCATGTCTTTTGCTTTGAGAGTCAGCCTCAAGCTTATTTCAGCCCTCCTAAGGTGACGTGAGATACGGCTAAATTGCATTGTTTCTCACAAAATGACACACAAATAAAATCCCATTTCTGTGGGATTCTGTGATTCTGCTACGTTTCTACACAGAGGAGTTGCAGTTTTGCTCACACTTCATTGTTTTACACAGCAGAGGTACTTGAATTCTTTCAGCCCGTAACAAAGGCCTGCTATTTCAGAAATTAGACTAACTGTATAATAGTTGAGGGAGTGCAAATTACAACAAAAGCTGTCAAACACTTGAGAAAGATATTCTGGATTAAAAAACGAAATCCTGTGGCAAATGCCTTGATTCTATTACAGTCAAGTGTGAAGTCAAAATGGTACTACTTACATGCTTTGTGTAGAGCAGAAATTTGTACATTCAAAACTACGTTCTTTTCTAGCTGCTCTGTCCTGTTAGCCCATTGTTACATACGCAGGCAGAGCGCTTGGAGGAAACAAAACTTTATGCAAAAAAAAAAAGGAAAATCAGGAGCAGTCAGAGAAGGAAAATACAGAAAAAACAAGAATCTAATAGCTTAATGGCATTGTTGAATACATCAGCTCTGGGGCCCCCAGCATAAGAAGGACATGAACCTGCTGAGCGAGTCCAGAGGAGGCCACGAAGATGCTCAGAGGGCTGGAGCACCTCTGCTATGGGGACAGGCTGAGAGAGTTGGGCTTGTTCAGCCTGGAGAAGAGGAGGCTCCGGGGAGAGCTGATAGCACCTTCCAGTACCTGAAGGGGCCTACAAGGAAGCTGGGGGCGGGGGCTTTTTTCAAGGGCCTGTGAAGA